ATCCCAGCAGACAGACCCGGGCTGAGAGGGATACAGTATCCCAGCACACAGACCCGTGCTGAGAGGGATACAACATCCCAGCAGAAAGACTTTCATACTCAAAAATATTTTGGCTGACTATTGGCCAAAAAGGTCAGTTGTAGCTTTCCTAAGAGTTTTACAGTATTTGCAACACTAATAGGTCATGTAAGTGCAGAAGATTCAAAGTGTTACCAGAGAGTAACATACAAAGAAAGGAAGGGAGAGAGGTAAGGACGTCAGATGTTTGATAGGAGAGATTTGGGGCCATTCCATGACAAGTGACACACGTCATGCAAAGACGACGACTTACTGAACAAAATTCAGAGCAGAGAAAAAAGTCGGCACCATACCTTCCTCCAGCAAGAACAAAATCAAGAATGTATCCATCATTGCTCGGATTAGTTTTCAGCAGCTTGTATCCCTGCATTTCCTGTGTCAGTGTTCAAGGAATGACCCGTTTCTATGGCTGTGGGGTACGTTACATATCCATTCCCCTTTTTCTGTTCACTTGATCAAAGTCAAAGTAGGTGCCGAAAAAACTCATCTCACGTAAGCGTAGTCAGTCATGCCACATTTGACGGACAGTTGGACACATTTGATAGACAGTTGAACACATTTGACGGACAGTTGGACAAGAACTCACATTTGACGGACAGTTGGACACATTTGATGGACAGTTTGACACATTTGATGGACAGTTTGACACATTTGATGGACAGTTTGACACATTTGATGGACAGTTGGACCAACACTCACATTTGATGGGCAGGAAGAAGGAGCTGCTGGTTTGAGTGAAGGAATCCTGGGCCGTGCAGGTGTAGGTGCCCTCGTGGGTCCTCGGATCGACCGCCGGGACCACCAATGTCTTGCGGCGCTGGTTCTCCATATGTCGATTGTTGAACATCCAGCTGATGCGGGGCGGGTCCGACGGGTTGAAGTCAAAAGTGGAACATTCCAGAGTGGCCGTGTTGCCTCTCTCCACCCACTCCTCATTGCTGACCAGACGAACTGCCACCTGGCGGTCTGAAACCACAGCACAATTAGACATCAGAATAATATATGTATGTTTACACGGAACAATTATTTATCAGAATAATATATGTATGTTTACACGGAACAATTATTTATCAGAATAATATATGTATGTTTACACGGAACAATTATTTATCAGAATAATATATGTATGTTTACACGGAACAATTATTTATCAGAATAATATATGTATGTTTACACGGAACAATTATTTATCAGAATAATATATGTATGTTTACACGGAACAATTATTTATCAGAATAATATATGTATGTTTACACGGAACAATTATTCATCAGAATAATATATGTATGTTTACACGGAACAATTATTCATCAGAATAATATATGTATGTTTACACGGAACAATTATTCATCAGAATAATATATGTATGTTTACACGGAACAATTATTCATCAGAATAATATATGTATGTTTACACGGAACAATTATTCATCAGAATAATATATGTATGTTTACACGGAACAATTATTTATCAGAATAATATATGTATGTTTACACGGAACAATTATTTATCAGAATAATATATGTATGTTTACACGGCACAATTATGTGTCAGAATAATATATGTATGTTTACACGGCACAATTATATGATATATGTATGTTTACACGGCACAATTATATGTCAGAATAATATATGTATGTTTACACGGCACAATTATATGTCAGAATAATATATGTATGTTTACACGGAACAATTATTTATCAGAATAATATATGTATGTTTACACGGCACAATTATGTGTCAGAATAATATATGTATGTTTACATGGCACAATTATATGTCAGAATAATACAAATGGTTTTATGTAACGCATATCTAAATAATTCATCAGAACAATAGATGTAGTGTAACACAGCTCATATCTAAATCAGTCATCAGAACAATAGATGTAGTGTTACACAGCTCATATCTGAATCATTTATCTTAATGGAGGAATTGTACTTAACAGCTTTTTAGTGCAAGATTTTATGTACAATTCCTCCAAGTAGGGGAATGTAGATACTTGGAGGAATTGTACAGAACCGCTTGCACGATAGATACTTGGAGGAATTGTACAGAACCGCTTGCACGATAGATACTTGGAGGAATTGTACAGAACCGCTTGCACGATAGATACTT